ATATTGTAATTAGATTTAAATTTCTTATTAAATAATTAATTAATTTTATGAATATGAATGTAATTATGAATATGAATTTCTAAGAAAACAATGGAAATGCAGTTTTAGCAATGATTGATTTTTACATGTTCATATTAAAAACATAAATCTCTTTAATAACACACTACTTTAATTGTATATTACTTTTAATAAGATTTTATGACTTCTTTATTTAAACAAGTTAAATTTCAATGATTAATCCCAAATATTGTAGATACGTTTTAACGATGAATGTTACTTCATGCTTCACAACGTAGCACAAAGTCAGTTGTGTCAGTAATCTATCTCGGTTCGTTTAATAGCAGCATTATCCATTATTCATTTTGAATTTATATACGGTCGCGAAATACCAGTATAGCTTTGCAAAACAACAGGTTGGTGGTGCAATCCGGTCGAACGCTATCTCTTTCATTCGCGCTTTCATATCTACGCGTATGCATCTATCTGTCCACACAATCGCATGAGTGCACGCTTTGATCATCGAATAAAGAGAGAACGAAGAAACGAATGAGAGCGAAAGGAAGCGAACGTCCATTTTTCACAGGCATATAAATGTGAGTTATTAATACGCTGGTATTGTACGGCACAGAGAAGGTAATTAGTGGCCAGTTCATCAGTCACTCGGCCAGATCCCCCGACGGTCGAAGGAAAGAAGATCTTGCTCGGACCTAAGCGAGAGAAGCCTAAGTTCCCATCCTTCTCCCAAGGTTGCAAGAAAGATTAGACGACTAATGAAACCACGATTGGCACGAGAAGAATAGAGCGAACCGAGCACGATTAACGGAAAAGAGAGAAGACGAGAATGAAGCGAAGCAAAAGAGAGAAATAAGAAGAGAGAGAGAGAGAGATCGCTCTCTTGGCCCTGATTAACGTGAGTTGTAGTTCGTGCCTTGATCACCTGTGCTCCAAATTTTTAATTAGGCATATCAGCGATCGATCTCTCGGATCAGAGAGAAGATGGTAAGATGAAGTATGAACAAACTAAAGGAATATGATATACCTGAGGGATAAAGGGATAAAGAGACTTTGAAAAGAATATATTTATTCAAATTAAACTAAAGAAGGTGAACGGTTGGCAATACTTACTTCGCAAAAAACTTAATCAAAAACTTTAGAACGCGAGATACAATAAACTTTACCTATATTTATTTCTTAATTCTCAATTATTATAATTAAACTAGAAAATTTAGATTTATAATCTTCAAATTATTCAAGATTAAAAATTAACAAAAAAATCACAATCTTGCGAATTTTCAAAAAGAAAAATCGTCTTCGAATCCATTAGAAACTCTAACTTTGATAAACGTCGTAACAGATCCGGATAAGCAACGCGTCATGATAAGCAACATCTCCTGATCTTGATAAGCAATACGTATCTATGTGCGCGAGGGAGATATTAATGGTAGCCGCGTTGGGACTAACGCTCATCAGTAACTACCACAGGAAGTTCAGGTCCAGGTCGACGTATTAGCTAATGTGTCGTCGCGATTACCGCACCTGGAGTTAGTTGGCCAGTCGTGCAATTGGCGGCGTGTCGCATCTACACGCGTGTCCCGGACACGGCCGCGCACGCGTTCATACCCACATGCACGTATCGTCCCGAAGACAGGAAACGTAGAGCGTTGATTGGCTGTCCGGAGGCGGTTGGAGCCGACTGCGTGACCTCTGACCCCACCCCCGTGGGGCGCGCGCACGTCTCCAACCCCAAGGAAGTAATTACCTTGCTACCCGCGCTCGATAACCGACGCTATCGGATGCTCCGTTCTGACGGCCGGATGACGTGGCCGGGTCGCTCGGGTGTTCACGAGCACGCGCCCTCGACGATGCACACACACACACACACGCACACACACGCACACACATATGTGTGTTTGTATATGTGGAAGTTGAAGATGTGTAGGGCACAAGTACACAGATAGAGTTGATCGACTGTTATGGATAACAATTAAAATTGTGTCGTACTCATGTACGCGATTACATACATTGCCAAGGATTCTTTAGATTAAATATGCAGCAAACTGTATTATACTGCAGTAAATCACAAAATCATAAAATCATCGGAAAGCAATTGATAAAATAATTAAAAAGAATCATCTGCAAGAAAATCAAGATTAATTGCCGTAAGCTTAGAATACACTAAAGTAACTAATTAACATTTTGAAAAACTATATTGCATAGGAAAATTTAATCAGCTCTTGATAGAAATTATTTCCTTGGATATTAAATTAAGCCATAACCTTTCATACAGTACGACGCAAAGTTACCTCTGCTGGTACAATCTAACTTTCTTGCGGTCTTTAACAGACAAAATTAACGATGCTTCTATCTTGACAGAGAGATGAGATAATGGGATAGTGGCGAATATACACATCCTTTGATGTGTATAAATAAATACACGCTCGTTAATACGTAAATGATCGTAAGTCTTGTATAATCAATCCTTTCATCTCCACGTTAACATTATTATAGCCTGCTAACGTTCATTTAGGCTAAGCTGTCCGTTATGCTGAACGTTGATTCAGTTGAAACGTACACTTCAGAAACAAAAATTTTAATTCAGAATAAACATATACATTATTTATATTCACATTATTTTATATTTAATCAACACTAATTAGTTCGTTATTAATATACCTGTTTGCAATATTTTACTAAAAACTGTAAAAATTAAAAAAGTGTGATTATTAATTATTTTAATTAATTACGTACAATATTATCACAAATAGTATTATTAATTAGAATACGATTAGTTCTTAATAAACGTCAATTGAACATATGATATTATAAATATTTTATATATAATAGTATATATAATATTTTATTGTAATTTACTCGAAATCATATCTGTATGTATCTTTGATTGTTCGATTAAAACAATGAGCAATGAATCAATGTACAAGTGATGGGGGTGGCTTCGGCTGACGCAAGTGATTTCGCCCACGAGAGTGACGGGGGTGGATTTCGCGGCGCAAAGTGCAAGAAGAGAATCGCGCATAAGGTCACGCCGCGGGGTTACACCAAGCAGACTCCTATTGGCAGGCCAATGCCAAGCAAGATTCGCGATTGGTTGAAGGTCGTGGGTCGCCTCACCTACCCCCAATCCAACGTGACCTCCCACGCGAACTCGCGAGGCAGTAACTGCCACCCTTCTCCAGATTTGGCGTTGGGGGTTGCGCTGGCTCGCGCATTCCAACGTATCGAGCCAACTGTGCAAAAATCCGGCCGAACACGGTATTTTGTTCGATGCGTCTGATAGCAAAGAGATTAACTACGTTCAAAAAGAAAATAAGCACCATGCTTTCCCTATGCAGAATTTAATCCTGCGGGAAAGAACTCTTTCTATATGTAAACACTATTTAACAATATTTAAAAAATATATATAATCTCGAGTGTAAGCTTATATTCTACATAAACTCTGAACAGACTCGACAGAGATAAATTTGAATTCTCTAACTTCTAACTTCCAATTATTACTTCCTAAACTACTATTATGTCTTAACTCTCAATTAAAATTTATACTACTTGGAGAATCAGTAAAATTAAAAGATAACGAGGATAACTATTATATTCTGACTTATCCCTTTAATAATTCATTCAAGGATCGAATGATATATACTTGCCTCGCGATACAGTTGCTATCCGAAATAGAAAAAGTAGGAAAGGAGGATGAACTAAAACGAGCGTAAAGTCATAATGCCATTCATCAGACGGAGGACAACCGGCAAACCGCGGCAATTAACTTCCACCGAGGGCTTTTTTATCATGCTGCAGTATTATTAGACAAGCGGTCAACCCTCAGCGAACACGAGGGTGAAAATGTCGTGCAGCGCAGATGCGGTAATCCAAATTTAGTGCGATATAAATACAGCAGATTAGAGCGATTGCTCTATTTTTTTATTGTCTCCGTGATCCATGACAGGTATTATGAGACAAAAAAATTACGACCGAAACGAGGCGTGGAGATAATCGCATTATGTTCATATCATCATAAACGATCATAATCAAAAGATATGTTTGGATTTTATTGAATCAAATTTCTCAATTTGGAAATTACTATTTGCATAACCGAAAGACTAATTTGACTACAAAAGTTTGCGTCTACAGAATTAGTCAAAGTATTCCTCATCGAGATGATGAAACAATTTATATATTATATAAAAACCGTCGTATCATAAAAAAGTTGATATAATAAATAATTTGAAAAAAATAAACAACATATCAACATATAAAATATATATGTACATGATATATATCGGTGAAAAACTCCTGAAAAATAATATGAAAAACTCTTGAAAAATAACTTTTATCGCGCGTTGTATATTAAATTAATTAATATTGTATAATTATCACAATAGATCACGCAATGTCAAATTTTTCATTAGCATATATAACAATTGGCATTCTCCGCGGCTAACAGATATTCGAACCGTATAATTAAATCTGAAGCGTGGAGGCTAATTACAATGGCCCTTCGCAAATACGTCGCTCATTACGATTTAGTAATTGTTCCGGCGCGTAATAACGCTGGTATCTGTACAGTATTATTGTTCGGTGGGGTGTTATTGCCTGAAACGCGTATAACATAATTACTCTAATGCAATTAGGAGTGCCGCACATTGGTCTGCTTCTTGTCTCTGAAAACGGACCGCTCTCTCGACACAGAGATTGGATTAACGAATATTGTGGGCTAGGCGTCAAATCCTGAAAATCGATACCACTATCAACCGCGGTTATTAAATTCTGTACATTATAATAATGGAGTTTAAAAAAGCAGATTAAAACACAGATTTATTAAAAATAAAATTTTGCATTTATAAAACTTATAATAATACCTATGATATACAAATAAATAAATAGAATAAAAAGATATATTTGTAAAATACATATTTATTTTCATGAACGCATTTGTTATTTATTTGGGTAAATATTACAAATGTATATTATTTTACATGTATCTCCCCTTGGAAAATTAAAATAGATTAAACATTTATTATTATTAGTCGTCTAAAGATTGATCTAAACGGGCTCAGTTTCTTGAAATCTGTAAATGAAAATTACAAGACCATTGATATAAGTGATTTTTTTACTTATCATTAAAACTATAATAATTATTCACACAGCATTCACTACATTGCAGAGAAATAAAGAATGAGATAAAAAATAATTTATTCCAGATTCAGCATCTATCAAAATAAGAATAAAAATATAGAAAACATATATTACAATTTAAATTCCGAGATCAACATCATAATAAAACATATATTCTTTCCGCAGATAATAAGTTCTGTATAATAAAGAATACTCTTTTTATAAAAAAAACTTGATTTGATCTAATTCTCTCTGATACTCTTTCTTCTCATTCAAATCAATTTTTAATATGATTTTTCTTTTTTATGATTTTATGACTAAGATGTTTAATCTCGCAATTTAAAACGCACAAATTATAAATTATAAACAACCACAATTAAAAAGCGTTAAATAAAGACTTGTTATTGCAACAAGTATATTTCAGAGAATATTGCATGCATCCTACAGAGGTATATGGCGTGCGTTAAGTCTTACAAGGATACATTTACGGGTAAAGTATTAGGTGACGATTATCCGAGTATTCCTTTCAGTTTTAAGGTTTCTGGCTAAGATCTTTTTATACAGGCGACTCACAACTGTCAAACCGCAAGATTGATATGAGAACACCAGTTTCCGCTATTGCTAAAATGCAGCCCTAAAATATCATAAGACGTGCGTGCACGTGTACGAAAACCGCAAAGTCAAAATAAACTACATGTATTAACTTCTTTCATGTGGAGCATCGATTGGCTTTACATATGATATTCTGCAAGACGAGAACTGTCTGTCCAAGCGATAGAGACTAAATAAGGAAAATGACAATTGTTGGAATATCAAAACGCTAATTACTTTAATAAATAATTACAATTTAGATTTTATAAAAATATTTCATCTAGAAAATTAAAAATTCTAAATAAGATGATGTAGTTATATAATTAATCCTCGTCAGAGAACATCTCTTTTGAGATATCATTTAATTCTAAAAAAAGATTTCAAGATTATATAACAATAAGTGAATTTAAATACACAGCTGGCATAGATAAATTCGCAAAGCCAAGTTAGTAGACAGAAAATCATACAATGTAAATTTATAACAAATATTTTATCAAATTTTTGTAATGCTGTCAAATCTTCAACTGAACAAAAAAAAATAGATACATGATTCAATAAAATATATGAATGCGGGTATTGTTAGTGACTGTTTTAGAAATTCCTTACTTAACGGATAACGAAGAACGGAACCATTCGCAAGTCAATCCAATTGGACAGACTCAAAAGCGAACAGCGACAGGCAAATACGAGCGATCGGTTATCGAAGCGATTAAATGTATATATCGTGTCTGTCTCTCCGGCCATGCAAATATGCGCAGGTAAACTCGGAAGCCACGCTTTCCAACAAGGAAACACCAACCACGTCAACGTGGCCTGCGTGGTGAGCGTTCGTATGCACAACCGGCACCGTCCTACTCTCGTGGGAAATGCTGTCGATTATATTTGCGCCATAGCGAGCGCTATGAACGCACAAGATACGCCGGAGTTCCCGGACGAACGGAAATGGTAGGTCCATCGTCCTCCTGCCGAACCTGCTGTTTGCGCCGGCACTCTAATTAATTATCCGCTGTCTCCGATAATGTAACACGAAGCGCGAGGTGCGCTCCGGCACTACGAATATCCGAGATTACGTTTCGACTAGCGCGAGCGGAAAATTTTACACTCACATAACGAATAAGTAACCTCTGTAACGAGGGAAATTTTCCGCGATCCTGTATTTCCAAATAAAAATTTCCATTTTTTAAATTATTTCAGAGCTAAATACGTTAGTCATTTGCAGTTAAAGTACAAGAAATTTATCTGAGAAGTACTGATTAATAAACAATATTAATATATAAATTGTTCATCACTCGTAAAATTGTCAAATTTTTTTATTGAATATAAATATTGTAGATTCAATGTTTCAAGTAAAAAGTTTAAAGTATTATTTTAAAAATACTTAATATTAAAAAATAGAATTTTATAAATAATGTAAAAAATTAATTAAGGTACAATACATATATAGATTCGTGAAAACATATTTTTCTATTAACATAGTAAATTTATTAGATTCGCCAATATATATTTAATCATAGAAATAAAAAATTTGCGAAATATGTAATAATTTTTATCTCGAAAAAATAATCTTTCGGTATAGTTTCATTAATTATAAATTTGTTGAACAACTTACTATTGAAGTCATTCACATTTGGATTCACTTATCTTATAATAACAAAGTGAATATGTATTTTAATTTAAACAAAGCAAGTGTTAAGCGTTTTAAAACAAGATTTATTATTATCAAAAATCGATAGAGATCACAAAATCAAAAGAGAATAAAACTCGGTAACTTCTCATTGTTTTTACTTTCCAATGGCAAACGGAACGTACGAATGGAACATATGAAAGTTACATATTTGCGCTCACCCACCGGATGGACAAATATTCGTCGAGTACCATACTACTCGATAACACGGGGAGCTAATAAAAGAAGTCGCGCTGTTCCATTATCAAAGCTAAGAGCTCGTAGCTAACCGCTTGTATGTAAATGGACATGAGACTTTGCAAAGTCCTTCTTCTCCATTCTTACGATAGCGACAAATCAACAAATTAAAAGTTATTTATTAATGTTAATGATTATTTACTAACAATTTCATTATTTCTAATATTTTTTATTTTAAATAATATATTTTTTCATGTAAAATCAAAATTTTTACTTATTTTGATTTAACAAAAAAATTTGTAAGAATAGAATTATATTCTTTAATTGATTATTCACAATTACATCATAATATGTAAACCTCAAATCAATTTATAATTAAGCAAAGTGACTTTAAGCTAATGATTAAAAACTAATGATACATACTCGGCAGTTTACTCGAGTATAACTGAAGAACTTTGGAATGAAGTGGAATAAATGTAGATCTGAAGTATGCACTTGATAATGTAGAAGGCTAATAGAAGAAGTCACGCAGTGCTATTGTTAGTGGACAATACTGCAGATGGTTAAAACGATTTTCATCGCCCTATGCTCGCTATTCAGTGCCAGTACGCAAAACCACTTAACGTTTCTTTGTACGCCGACTGATATCAGTATGAATTAGTTGATGGCAAATCAAAGTGTTTTATCACAAGAATATCGACCAGTAGTATTTCGTTTCCAGCATATATTTCGTTATATGCTGATAATATTTAATTATATATTGAAAATGTACTCCATATCAGAAAGTAAGTGTATGAATCCTTTATTTTAAATGATAAAATATTCCATAGATCCATTGCCAGCAAAATAGAGAATTTAAATAATGCAATAAGACTTCCAAGTATTTTATAAAATGTATGACAGCTTTCAGTAAAAGCAAAAAAAGTTTTACTCACTCTAAAATGCCAGAAATATTTTTTTATAAAGCTTTTTGAAAATATAAAAATCTTAATAGCAATATTTTTTAAATATATAAGCTATCTCTCTTAATTTTTATACTATTTCTTGATTTATATTGCACAAAAAATGTTTTAAAGAAATAATATATAGTGCTAAGCAACATGCATAAAAGTTATAAATCATGCAAAAAGTATTTAACCTTAATATCAAAAGAAATTTTCTATATCTACTAATTCTACATATTTTATAAGAATCTTAATATCAATGAAATGCTTTTAATAAAAAAATATTTAAAGTCAATTTTTTAAATTAAAATTAAATGCATTTTTTATTTTATTTTTCAAATAAGTTATTGATATTAATAATGGATAAGCACAAGATGTATTTACTTTTGATAAAAATAAGATTAAAATTAAGAATTTTTAATGTTTACCTTCATTACAAATTTGAGATCCTTTCCAAAATGACATCAAAGCAATTCGCAGTGGAGATTCTATTTGAGTTGCTTCATGTGCTCCAATATCTGTAACAATACAAATTATAAGAAATAATATGAATGTATTAGTAAAATATATATCTAATAAATAAAAAGGAAATACATATCTAAAATAAAATGTAAAAACTCACACAAATTGTATATCTCCTATTACAATGTACATAACTATAATAATACTTCATTATATAACTTTTAACATCATTGTCCCAGATTACTTTTAAATATTAATAAGAGATTCTCTTTTCATTATTCTGCAACAGAAATAAACAAAAATTTGATAAAAATAAATCCTTTCTATAATAAAGTAATATAAAATAATAGAATATTAATTTACATGGAATATATATTATATAGATAAAATACATGATTTTCATCCATCTTTTCCTTTTGATTGTTGACAATTAACACTAAAATTATATAACTAAGCTTTCTTTTAGGCTCTTGAAATTTTTAACGTAAGAATTTGTATATTAAAAAATTTCCATCTTTATATATTGGAAATCAGGTTCTTCAATTTTTTTGGATTCCTTGAATTCATAATTTGTAAGAAAACCAAAGATGTCATCATGTTTCCGAAGATTTCAATCTGCAACAATTTTCGAAATTCATATTCATCAATCGAAAAAATTTTTTTCATTTTATAATAATCAAAGGATTCTAATACAATTTAATAAGGCAAAACTTTCTTATATTTTTTTATATAATTATATTTTTATAATTACACATTCCATTTATCTACACATATAAAGTACTTTGCATAGTTATGCCAAGTTTTTTTATTATTTAACAATCTAAATGAATAGTATAATAACGATATATTGTATTATCTTAACTAAATCTTATTCCCGATATAAATTTCTCACATATAAAATACGTTATTTAAAAATCTTTGTCAAATTCGCAATCAAAGATGTTTAACACAAATTTCATCTACAAATTGTATACAAGTATTCATTATTTAGTAGTTCCACGATTCAACGACTTACATGAATAATCGACACTATAAACACATATAACTTGTGAATTCGGCAGTTAAAGCATGTCTTGTGTAACAATTACGCTGAATTACACGAAATTTGTACATTCAATTACATGTCAAACGTACCAAACGATGTTAAAAACGCCGCACGAACGTTCCCATGACGTCACGCCATTTGCAAATGGCGATCGAGTCATGTGACCACGATCTGCCTATACGGAAGCACCAAGACGATTCCATAGATTTTGAACGCAACAGTCGATGAGACGCTGTTAGAGGCCTTCTGCGCCGAATATAACGATTAATCATGAATATATGTATGACCACGATTACACCAGACAATGATGAACGTTTTCGTAATATAATCAAGTAAAATGGCGGGTGCTTGTTCGCAAGCGTGCAAACGATCATCCGAACGGTTCGAAATATTTGCGATATTTGCGTTCATCAGCAGATTGCGGGCAACGCTTGCATCGCGATAAACGTTTGACACGGCACGGAATACGTTCGTAATCATTTCTGATGCGCGAGATTCGCTCTTGAACGATAACGAACGTGAAAAACACGGAGCAACACAAACACGACTCCTCCATTCGTCGCGACGCGGCCATGACTGAGTGGCGCGAATCCACCGAGCTGCGACGTTTGTGATTGGTGGACGTCCGAATGACGAACCAATTACGTTGCGACAATTAAATCTAGTCACTTTCGTTTCGCGCCTTTTTGTGTTTCGCGCCTTTTTAAATTACGCCTTTTTGAGTTATGGAAGATGAAATTTCAATGAATTTTCGAAAGCAGAAAGGAGGTAAGGGAAATAAAAGTAGAAAATGCAACGAATATTACAGCGAAAGTTATTATTTAATATAGAAATTAAATTCGAGATGTTTCTTAGCGATTGCTGAAATATCGAATATTCGAAATGCTAATTCACAAACTATGATCGACACGCAATAGTTGTAGCTTTCAACGTGAAAGGAAATATTTTTATAAATAAACAGACATCTAA